GGCCCTGGTGCACCCGCACCGGCGGTAGTTCCGCCACTGGTCCTAGTCACAGAAAGTGAAAGAAAATCCCACATTTTGGGTTGTCTAGGCAAAGAATACATGTAAAAATCTTCCAAAGGGGACACCAGTTTTGGTAACCCTTCGGACCTCCAGGGATTTCCTCCCACTTCATGTCGTGGCTATTGGACATGAAGTGAAGGGGGATCTCCCAATTGGACATAGAGGTCAAAAAAAGAGTTGACAGGTGTTAAAACCTCCCTCTTAATAAAAAGAAGTTTTGGCTTTAGCACTTCAAATGGTATAATCCACACTTTTCATTTAGATGTGTTCAGGTGCACTCAATTGCATTTAGAAAAAAATAGAATTCTATGCATCCATGGGCAGGTTAGATATTCTGTATGTGTTTAAACACATGCACACGCAAGAGGGAGTGATCGGGGAAGTATAAGTTTCATTATACTAAGTTTGATTATGCTTCCCAGATTCATTTCTCCTGGATTCAAGTAAAACAAATGTAGGAGGCCCTTAGAGGTCAGCCTTAGAGGTTTGTAGCCTTGTAGTCTTAGAGGCTAATTTTCTTAAACTGCATCTAAACCTTAAGTTTTTCTTTTATGTTTTGGATAGAGTGGAGAGTTAGAACCTCTGCCCGGATCTTATTGATGTCTATGTCCTCACTGGGGAGATTCACTTTCTCTATTTCTGTTGGTTTCCATTGTCACCAGGACTGTAGGTGAGAGAAAATCTAAACATTTGACTTGTTGCCAAAACAGAAACAGAGGGGAAATCTTCAAATAGAGCCACTTCCCAAGGGAAGGCTTCCTTTAATTTAGAGAGATTTGCTCCCACTTCTTGGTGTGTCTCTAAGGCAGGAAGTAAAGGTAAATCTGCCTAATCTGAGCACAGACAACAAAAAACCTATACAGGGTTTTGATTATTTGCATACTCTATACAAGCAAACAACAACGACAAAAAAAAAAGTTCTGAATTTACAAGGACATAAATATGGCTGCCACTTTTGGCTTTGGGACTGTCATCTTCACCCTGGCTTCACTAGCTAGCC